CTGCCTAGTTCACTTAGAAGAAACCAGTCTTCTCTATTGAGCTGGGGTAAAGGAAACCAGACTCGGCGCCGTGTTAGCATGAATAGTTTGGAAACCGTTGTAAAGGAAAAATGCTAATGATGGCAACTTCCATTAACTGAATGCTTCTTACGGGCCAGCCATGCTCTGGGTTCATTTACACTGATTAGGTCATCGCATATCTCCAGACAAATCTTCCGAGTAGAGGCTATTTTTATCCCTGTTTAATAGATGAGGAAGAAAAAGTTAGGTGTTAGAGCTGGCCCTTAAGCCCTAACGTGGCCAAATCCAAAGCCTGTTTAATCACGAGGTTAAATCATTTTCCCTGAAGCCCTGCTACTATTCATGTTTTAATGTCACGGAGCTGGAAGGGAACTTAGGTCATCTAATCACAGATTCAAACCATACTAAATCTCAAAGCCTTGGAGAATGCATCCCGGCCATTAATTTTTGAGAAAGACCCAGGGAGGAAAAGTCAGGGGGCTGCAGCTCCAACGTGGGCCTCCTGAATCCCAGTCCCGCTCTTGTTCTGTTTCTCAGGTTGTCATGGAACAGTGTGGACTCTCAGTCTATTTGTCTTGTCAGATCATGGTCTCCAGCAAATGTCTGGATAACCTACTCAGTACCTTCTTTTCGAGGGAAGCACAGTGACCCTCCAAAAGCATCCATGTACTTGGGAGTTCCCTGGACACACACAGTTTCTGATGCTCACCACTGTGACTAAGCGTTTGGAAGGTTCTAATCCTAAGGGCACAAAGAAAGTACAACAGCCCAGGAAACTGGAGTACCCCTAGCCTTCTCCTCTGAGCCTGAGGATTGATTTAACATAGCAAGTCCTCTCACACGCTGCATTTTTCAGCCCTCATTTAAACTGGCAGAGGTGACTGGAAATGTGTAAATGTTAAAATGTTATTATTCAAAAATGCTTGAGAATCCCCATGGATCATCATAGTAATTAAAATGCATCAAAGAAGACCCCTTGCTTCAGCAGCTCACAGGACAAAAGGAAAAAATGGAAAGTTGAAGGGGCTGGGAATTAGCATGCTGGTGTGCCCTGCTGTTCAGTGGAGCAGCGGGCCTGGATGTGTGGGGAGAGTGGGGACACAGCCCTCTGCACGTCCCGCCCCCTCTGCTCCTCTCCTGGAAGGGCAGGTGGGAGGAGGGCCGTGGGCAGGGGAGGATGAGCGTTGGAGGGGCTGTGGCACCCCCAAGGCAGGAGCATGGTGACTCTCAGTCGAAGGACGGCCGTGGGCCCGCGAGTTCTCTTCTGGACTCCATGAGCCCTGGGCACAAGGGTCCTGTCTCTGATTTTTCTAATGTAGTTCCACTTTTTCTGAGGCCTTCTCCTTCAGTGTCCAACTCAAAATCTACCTCCTCTGAGAAGCCTCTTGGTTCAAAGTTATCACACACTCGTTACTACTCACTGTACTGTGCATTTGGTTTATACGTTTTTTTAATCTTTGCTTTGAATTCTAGTTGTTTCTGTACACGCTGGTCTCTTCCAGTAGCTGAGAGGCTGATGGAGCAGAGGCCGTGCCTCCGTCTCTGCATCTTCGGGTGCTCCCTGAAGATGGCCGTTTCGCACACGTGTGCTGATGGAGGAGGGATCACAGCGACAGCGCGGGGCCCTGTTTCTCACTGGGCTGATTCTCATTTCAGCCTTCTCCCTGTCTTACCTCTGGTCACCTCCTCCTACGTCGAGACTTAGAAGGATGATGTTTGTACTTGGCATGTGCAACAACAACGTGTCAACAACACGTTGACAACCCTTGTGACAACCTGTGAGGAACAGAGAAGTAGTAGGTCTCATCTGTGAACAAAATATGAGTAAGAACAGGTGTTAACATCTGTTCGGAGCTGGCATGTGCCAGGGATGGTCTAAATGCTTCGCACATAAAATTCCCATAACAATCCTATGAAATAAGTACTATTAAGATCCCAGAATTATAGATGAGATTGCCAGGCACAAAGAAGTTCAGTAATTTGCTTAAGAGCTGGCTTTTGGTGTTGGGGTTTGGGGGAGATCTGGCTTTTGATTAGTGTATTATATTGTTAACACTTTGTCCCTAAGAGACCTAATATTATCCTGATTTTACTGAAGGAAGGGACCGTTGAGTAGATCTTTTCCCTCTCATTGATTTGCCAGGAAGTCTAGCTTAGCCTTGGATATTGTATTTTATGGGAAAAAGAATGCTAGCTTGTTGAGATCCTCAGGTTCTTAGATCTTGACAAGCTTTTCAGATGCCAAGGTGTCTTTCCTTGGGAATTCCTGGGTGAGTTGTGTCACATAAGAATCCCTTCCTATGATTTCCTCTACTCTGGTGGACTGTGGTTTCTCTAATGGGATTATAGCCATCAGAAATGCTTACTCTTTGCATATTTCCTCCTGCCATAAGTTCCCATTCCTTTTTCTGCCCACTTCCTTCCTCCAGCATCGGTCTGTTAGGGAGCTCTTGGCATCTGTCTCTCTTTCTGCATTGATGGCCCGCTTGAGTGCATGGCTGTTGGACAGGGCCTTCATTGTTGGCGATGCCAGCAGCAGTCAGAACATGCTCTGTGGCCTGGGTTCCAAGGTCCACCCAGGCAGTGTGAGCCTGGCTGGGTCCCAGTTCTGGACTGGTGTTTTTCTTTTGTTGTTGGACTCCCATCTCCTCAAAAAAGTTGTCAAGTAAGGAGCTAGAAGCTGGTGCCAAGGAAGAGAAGCTTGTTACCAGAGCCCTCTTTCACATTCAGATGCGGTCAGGGGTCACTGCCCTCTGGACCAGGATCTAGAGGAAGCTGGCCATTAGGATATGGTCCTGGAGATGGCCGGTTTTCCACTCTGCTTGACTCCCACTTCCCCTAGGAAGTTCCATTGGCCCGAATCACCATTAGGTGCTTGTGTGGCCCCACCATCAGCATCATGGGCAGCTTCCTGCACACTGGCAGTTGACTCACGTGGTGTTCATACCCCCAAAGTCAGGGCTTCCTGAGGCCTGAATGAAGCCATGCAGAACTCATGTACGCAGCACTTCTTCCCTGGAGATACGATCCAGGCTGTTTCAGGGTGTATTCAGTGCTCTGAACTTGACCTTTGGGTTTTGGGTGTGAAAGCCCCAAAGCAGTTAAGAACAGAGGAAGGAGATGCCAGAGTTCATGCCTCTGGGCTCCGGTGGGTGAGTCCTCAGATCTGCCAAGTGGAGCTCCGCGGCCGCCCCTCCTCGGCCTCTGCAGACCTGCCGAAAGCCGAGCACGCTGTGGACCAAACCATCCTTCGGGTGTCGGGCTCAGCACTTGGAGAGCTGGTTATTGGGGTTCTTCCTGAAACACGGACCTAGCACTGTGGGACCCTGATGTCGGGCTTGGGCAGTGCGGGTTGTGTGTGTGAAGCGCAGCCCTCCTCGCCTGACAGCCTTGGGACTGCAGGCCTGCTGATGAGGAGGGGGCCTGCTGTGCAGGCAGGCGTGGGAGAGGCCTCCCTACAGGGCTTTGCCAACCCCGAGGGGAAGCGCGCCGTCGCAGTGTGGTGAAGACGTGCCTTCTCAGCACTATCAGAACATAAAAGGGATTTTTAAGGACCATGCAGGCAACCTGCTTATTTTAGATATTGAAGCCCAGCAAGATGAGATCACTGCCAAGGCCACACAGCGAGAGAGCAGATAGCAAGACCAGAACCAGGTGTGCCGACGCCTGGGTCTCTCCCACCTCTCCAGACCAACCACCGGAGGCCTCAGGGCCTTAGATTTCTCATCTGTAAAAATAGCTGAGCTTGACCCTTTGGGTTCCAGGATCTTCTGATCTCAGGAACAGTTTGGAGTTTGTGCAGACTAGGGAATCGTTTGGTCGGTACCGTACATTTCCACTTACAGAGAAAGTCAGGTTGAACGTTAGCCGTGGAGCACAGGGTTGTCATCTGCCCTGCTGATACGGGTTAAAATCGCTTACAGGTCTGGGTTTGTGCAGGGAGAGCCTGTTCGGCGTCTTGGCGCGATACCGATGTTGGACTCTGATTTGGTCAATTATTTATGCTACCTCAGGGCAGAGGTATTTGGTCCCTCGGGGAGCATACAGTAGTGGCTGGTCTCACGAGCTGGTAGTGTCAGGTTTCCGGGATGTTGGGGCCGTCTCAGGAGCATGGCACATGTCTCTTGGCACTGACAAATCAGACCCTTTTGATTTCAGTGGATCAGCTAAGGTTAAACTTAAACAAATAGGGGCAGCTGGGAGGCTTTGCAAAGAGTGAGATGTGCACATTCTCAATAAAAAAATAGTCTGTGTTCCCCAAGGAAGGAAGGATGAGGCGTGGAACTCTGAATCGCCGCCCCCCCCGCCCCCGCCCCCAAAATCTGAGGAAGGAAGCATTTATTTCTCTGCTAGTTTGTTTTGCACTTTCAGTTAAGGAATTCCAGGAGTTGCAGGTTGTGGATCATGACTTCTGTTCCCCTCCCCACTGCCCCCCCCCCCCACATTGCTGCTTGCCAGAGGAAGGGAGGGCGGGTAGCTCTAAATAACACTTTGGCCTTTATGGAAATGTATCAGATGTTCCAGGAGTGAGTCTCGCTTGCTCTTGCTTGCTTGTTGGCGGGCTCGCTCTCTCCCTCCCTCTCACTTTTACTCCGTGTTCACTCGTTCTCTCACTTGTGTCCTTTCTGTAGGATATAGTTAGCACCTCCTGTCGCCTTATATAGCAAGGTCTAGTCGTTAATGTTAACAGAAATCTAACAAGGAAGGCTGCCAGATAGCATTAATCAGGCCAGTGTTTGGAATTTCATAAATGCTCTGACTTAGGGTACAAATTGGACATTAAGAACAATACTAAACTGTGTTTTCTGACTTCCTCTCTCCTCTTCTCTCCCTCTGCCGGCTCCCCAGCCATCCAGCTTCTCTCCCTTTTCCCCTGCTTCTGAATTCCTCTGCTCGGCCGTGTGCTCGCTGCATTGGAACTTTGTTGGTTTTTGCCGCGTTTAATTTTGTTATTTCTCTGTCTCTCCGTCCACTCCAAGACCACAGGCGGAGCAGCGGCGGCCGGAGCCAGGACTCTGCGGAGGGGCAGGACGGGCAGGTCCCGGAGCAGTTCTCAGGTCTCCTCCACGGCTCCTCCCCAGTGTGTGAGGCGGGGCAGGACCCTCTCCAGCTGCTCCCTGCCCCTGGCCAGAACCATCGAGAAGGGTCCCCTGCGCAGGGCGCCTGCCCCGAGGAGATGCAGCTGGAACAGACAGGCAGGCGTGTGTCTGGAGCCTCCCCACCCCGCGTGCTGGACCAGAGTAGGAGAGTGGGCCACCCGGCAAGCCTGCCCCACGCCCACAGCCAGACGCACCCCAAAACTTCGACACGCACGGCCTCTCCACGCCCTGGGGGCGCCGAGGAGGAAGGTGACCCGAGCGGGGCCAGGAGCCGAGCCCCTCCCACCAGCAGACCCAAGGCTGAGCTCAAACTCAGCCGCAGCTTGTCCAAGTCTGACTCTGATCTCCTGACCTGCTCCCCCACGGAAGACGCTACAATGGGAAGCCGGAGTGAGTCCCTGTCCAACTGCAGCATCGGGAAGAAGAGGCTGGAGAAGTCGCCCTCCTTTGCCTCCGAGTGGGACGAGGTAAGGCTGCGTGTTGTCTCAGGGAAGAGAGCCAGGCTGGCCAAGCCCCCTGCGCTCACCCAGGTGCCGACGCCCAGGACCAGAGTAGGGGCTGCGGCTGCCGGCTTCCCTCACACTCCACCAGAGTGTTTCTGACAGCTGGGAGGGGGCAGGTGCCCTGGAGCCAGGACAGGGGTCTTCATGCCTGCGTGGCAGAGGACAGGTCCACTCATGGTTAATCTGCAGGGCGGAGGCCCAGCAGAGCAGGACTGAGGGAGAAGCGGTTCCTAGAAGTGACATGCTATTTGGAAATATTTGGACCCCATCGGCCTCACGGAGGGAGTCAGGCTCTCCCTGAAGATGCTGCGGCAGAAGTAGAGGACTTCCTGTGAGCCTTCAGGAGGAAGAGGGGAGATGCAGGGCTGGGGGGATGGGGCTGTGGGAGAAGCTGTGGGAAGGGGACCAGAGGGGGATTTTCTGTTTCCCGCCACGTGTGATTCTCCTGTTTTTCCCAGGAAGACCACATGCTCTCCCAGCAGAACCTTCTGCCCAGCCCACATTCCTGGGTTGGTGGGGCAGAGGGCTAGGTGGTTCAGGAAACAGAGTGATTAGTGAGGAGAACACATTTGGAGTTTGAGGCCCAGGTTCCTTTCAGAGCCATTGTTATAGAATAGAAGTATGTGCCCAAGTATTTTGCAGTGACCTGTGACCTGTCTTCCTGGGCAGAAGAATGTGTTTCTCAAAGCGTGGTAAACATGCAGGGAATGTTCAAGTGCTGCCCTCGCAGGCTTCTAGCTGGGAGGAAGCTGACTCTGAAGCGGACTGGATCTGTCTCCCCGGAACATTTCCACAAGATGAATTTAGCTCTCGGAGAGGACACTGCAGCTGGCGTGTCCATTTGAACATTCTGTAGACTAAATGCCCTGCCCAGCCCATCCGGGCTGCAGCTGTAATAGCTATGTAAACCAAAGCTAATCCCATTCCCAGGATGGGAGCAGGGCGGAGCCAATTCCTCCAGCACTCATCTCCAGATAAGATGAGGTTTAGGACTGTTTAGTCAGGGACAGGAAGATCCTGTGCCAGAGAAAATCTTCACTGTTTAGCAAACCCGGATTTGGTGGTGAGCCTGTGCGAGATGCCAGGCCACTTAAGGAAAGGTAGTTGGTGTTGGAGAGCGCCTGTGCCCAGGAGACGACACCCAGGAGAGCAGGGGCTTGTCGGGGTGTGTGCTCTACCTTTGTTTTTCAGAACAGAGTTTTTCTAACTTACAGTCAAGTGTGGGATAAGGCAGCTTAAGAGTAAGAGACAATATTCTCTGAAGTGGCAGGAGAAATCAACAGAGAAGAGCATCAGTGGGAGTGGGGTGGGCAGAGACGAGGTGTATAAGAGGGCGGAAAGGGGGCTTCAGTAAGGGTCACAGAGAAGTGGAGTTGGACGTGGACTTCAAGAGCCAGGTGTTCTGGTTAGAACCAGATTGGAGCCATGGGATGGAGAAAGGACATCGAGGTAGAGAGAGCAGGTCCGCGAGGGTGAGGGTCTGGGGGAGCTTAGGTCACGTGGCTCCTGTAGAGTGCAGAGTCTGTATGAGGAGCGGAAGAAGTAAGGGCAGAAGGTGAGACTGGGACAGAGAGTGAGAGGACTTTGAACGTGAGGCTGAGAAGGGAGGGGGTGATATGGCATCCCGGCAGTGTCTCAGGATTCTTCACAGGGCTGCTGGTCCAGCCTGACGAATCACGCCTTCCTTACGTCTCATCCTGAGCACATCCTCCACCCCAAGCGGTCAGCAGTGCTGGACGGTCCTTCACAGACTGTCCGGGCCTTGTTGGTGTAGAGCACTGCCAGGCAGAGTTAGGGCTCCACCATTTCCTCTTGGAAAAGAAACACAAAGTCACCGAGGCACAGCCAGGCTTAATTGAAGTTGCCTGTTGAGTCTCCTGACATCCTAATGAGAGGAGGTGCTGATACCATCTTGGCGGGTAGAGATTGCTGGTGGATACAGGGAACCCAGGGACTCTTGGGCCAGGCAGTGGTGAGGCTAACCACCAGAAGCACTGCTACATTTTAAGTTTGAAAAAACTAAAGGCAATTGAGGACTTGTTGGAAAGCATTCAGAAGATGAAGCTTTGCTTGCATAGTAAACATTAACAGAGCACTTTACGTTTAACCCTTCAGTATTGTTTTGAGCCATATTATACTTGGTTTTGGGGGATATCTCTATCTAAAGAGAAAGTTGAGGGGTGTTTCCCACCCTGTTTGGCCCTAAATGCACAGCTTGGCAGACTTCCCTAGAGCAGGGCATTAAGTAATGGCTGCTCGCCACCCACCCTGACCCCTGCCTGAAGGCTGCTTTGCCTGTATCCTGTGCTTGACAATTTTATTTTCTTTGTCATCATTAGCTCTCCAAGGGGTCAGGAAGGCTGCCCTGAAGGAGCGTGGGCCCAGCTCAGCTTTTCGCCAGGGGGGCCAGGAGGAAGAGGGGGGCTCTGGGGCAGGACAGCTGCGACCCCTGCGCAGACGGGGTTGCCCGTGGGTCGGCCGGGCTGATCCTGGAAGGCCGCGCAGGGCAGCACGTGGGGCCCCACTCCAGAGTCAGTAGACCTGGCTCCATCAACTTCACTCCCGTGTGGGAGGCTCCAGGAAGCCTCAGAGTGGTTACCCTCATTTGTGAAACAGAGGCGGTCAAGTCTGTGTTTCAGAGGTGTGTTTACCAATTAGGTATGTTTCAGCACTCAGCACAGTTCCCAGTAGGCATAAAGTGTGGAGTGAACGATAGATATTAATACTGTTATTGTGCCTGCAGCTTTGGAGGGCCAGCACTGGGGTCTGGAGCGTCTTCAGAACTTGAGGAAGGCAGAGCTTTGGGGGAAGGGTCGATGGAGACTGGAAAGTTCAAGTGCTTCAGTCTCCTGCCTGACTCTGCCCCACCCAAGACGGAAGAGCCCGCCCCGCCTGGGAGAGGAGGGCAGGTGCCCTACATTGTTCTTTGAGAAATTAATGAGTTTTTCTGCCCGATTCCCTGAGAGGGAAGAGGTTAGAGAGCAATCCTCAGCCTCTCTCCCCTTTATTGTTCCGATGGCCCTTCTGCGTCCGGGCCTCTGTGGCCGCTTGATTGGCTGGGTGTGGGGGTGATGTATGTTGGGCACATGCGCAGTGGACGGTCACTGTTTTCGCATGCAGCCTGTTCCTTACAAGTGTTACTGTGGGCTCTATTGATCGCCCTGGACCGAGGATTCTAGAAAGTTAGCCTGGTTAAGAGCAACCTCTGAGACAGTGGCCACTGGTGATGCTTGTATTCCCCCTATTTTCTGTTGTTTCTGGTAACAAAGAACTAATAAGAGTTTGCTTTAAAGAGTGCTCAGCCTAAGAGGCGCTGTAAATCCCATCTTCAGTAAACACTTTCTGTGTTCTCCACTCAAATCAGCACCTTCTTTGTCTTAACAATCCCTTGTGGCATCATAGAAGGTAAACTGAGAGGCTGAACATAAATAAAACTGTAAAATATATAGATAAGAAGTGGGAAAATCACCTTCAGCTCTCTACATAGTTAGTCCCTGTTAATGTTTGATATATATCCAAATTTGAGATCTTAGTACATTTGCTGGTTTATAATTTGCTTTTCTTACCTAATGGCTGCATATCGGGGATGGCTTGCTGTGGCAGTGTCGGTAAGATCTGGGTTCAGGTCCTCATTCTGAAAAGCACAGTATCCTGTCTCTGCTTATATCATCGGCTTAGTTTGTTCTTCTAGCTGTTCTCTGGTTGTTAGACGCGGTGCGTGGTGTCTTCCATCTGCCCTTCAGTGTGTTCCCCACCCTCTCTCCCTGCCTGTGTGCCCCCAGAGTAACCCGTGTGAACTGCATCACTTGGCCAAGGAAACCTTGGATTGGCTGGGTTGCTCTACCGAAGCCCCACAGCCCTGTGAGAGAGAGACCCTGTCTCAGTAGCTGTTCTCTGTGCATTTTGGTAACATTCCTCCCCCAGACCCTCCAGGTCTGGGACTCCATCCTCGATCCGCTCTCTGTCCCCAACGCAAACCTGTACCAATAATCCCTTTATTTAGCTCCTTCGGTTCCCCAGTTCGAATGTGCCTTCTTTTTCCTGCAGGAATCATGAGTAATACAAACGTTTCTAGCACGGTTTCTGTTAAGTCTAAACAACCATAGATGGCTGTGTGCTGGAGCAGTCAATGTGACTCTTGCATGTAAATTGTAAATTAATCTTCATTTGCAGATGAACCAGAAGGCGTGGTTATTCAGGGTGCTGGGGAGTAGGAGAAATTCATCATTTAACTGGAAGCCTTTCCCACTTCCAACTCTAGGGAAGAAACCTGTTCTGCTTCCACACGGTTGGCAGTGTCGACAGCATTTCAGCTGTGTGTTCCTGCATCAGCTCCCTAGATGTATTTTAATCCTCTGTCACTGCACTGCACAGTGCACCCATAGGTACACACACACACACACACACACACACACACACACACACACGGCAGTAGTGTCTGGTGTCTGGTGTCTGGTCAGATAGTAGTTTGAATATATAAAAAGTCCTAAGGGATCAGATAGGTCTCACTCATACCTGCCTTTGAATGGGATTGAAGCTCTGGAAAGGAAAAGCCACAGAAGGCCGCTGTTCTACTTAGCATAAACGTTTGAGTCATTTAGAACTTAGCTAAAGGCTTAAGTGATGAATTTGTGTTTTATAATCAGCTTTCATCAATATTAAACTAGTGAGAGATGGGTGAAGAACAGGGACATGCTTTGCATGCATTTTGCGCAAACAGTAATCTCTGGCCAGGGGTTTGGGGAGTGTCCTGGTTTTGACTGAAATGGTAGCTGCAGGGACCTTGAGTCCCTCCACGTGGAGTGAAAGGGCAGCAGCCAGGAGGACACCTCCCAGGCTGGGTCCCAGATGCTTTTCCAGCAGGCTGTCCAGTTGGAGGCATGATGTCATCGAGAGAAATGCTGATTGGTTCAACTCCACAGAGGCTTTGCTTGCTTTTAACCCTTGAGGGTCAGGTGTGCAAG